AAATCCACTGAGTCTCTCACAATATCCCTAACTTATTGTGAGTAGTGTAAATCCAAATCTGCAAAGGAACAGACCTGAGAATTAGACAGTTGCAAATACAAATATTTCCTTCTCGATGAAGCTCAGTGACGATGCCTGGTGCATGAGCCCAACAGACATACTTTGGATTCTTTCTTCTCAGTAGAATTGTTTACAAGGTATTTTTTGCTGCAAGGTGTGCAGCATATCAACTAAAACTGCACCACTTGACCTTTCCAACAATGCCAGTTGCTCATCTGTGCGATAAAGTATGAGTGAGAAAACTTATTTTTAATTTACATCCTACTTGTCATAGTTGCAAACCACATACAGTTGTGTTTCAGTCAAATCCATGACTGGTTTGAGTTAATCATGGACTTGTCCTTGCACCGACATGTTAATATTTCTATATGTTAAAATCTATCCATTGCAGTAATATTGGCGTGTTGATGCAATGATCTGTTAATATCAAATCACAACAAAGAGTGTAACCGGAGCTTTGTGATCGTGTTTGTTATCTTTGTACATACTGAAGTTATAACATTATGAAGACACATGAAAGCAAAGTAATATCTTTACTAACATCTTCACCCATATCCACAGCATTGTACGGTGATACACCTATAAGAACATGGTTTCTTTTTTTACTTGATATAAAATCTGTAACTATTATCATATCAGATGAGGGAATATCTGCATAGCCTACAATGTTCTGAAAAGAAATAAAGATACAGCTTGCTAGTCTTTATAATGGCAGAGATAAGAGCTTAAAAGAAAAACCAGTGAAATTACCCCAAAAGTAGCCTCATAGACTTAAACTGGTGAACAAATGATAAAAAGATGCACAACTTGACAGCCGACTGTTGGGTTTGCATACAGATGGCTGCCTAGTCAGAAATCTTATGCAGGCATCAGGATGGTCATTTCATGTCCAGGGCCATTTTTAAAGACCAGTCCAGAGTGTAGTAACTGCTCTCACCCATACAAATTAATGAGTGACTTCATTAAAATCCAGACAATGTCAGAGTAGAGGACAGCACTCAAAAGGAGCTCAACGACAGCCAGACAGGATCCAAATAGAACTGAGAATAATTAAATAATTATACCTGATCCAAAATCTGAACAGAGCCAAATAAAGAGACAGCACTATCAGTTAATGAGTAGCCGCACGCATGTTTGCTCAGCTCCTGTCAAGTAATAGACATATTGACAAACAGCTGAAAGACCTGTAATGCAGTTAAACCTAATAAACCTTGGCCTTGGATACTAGAAACTTAAATAGACCTTTGAAGATCTTGCACAGCCTTATTCAGTTGATAAGACGCGAAATAAAGATTTTCATGTGGAATTTTCGGTTGCAGATACTTCTATACATTTACAGAAGAAGACTGGAGCTGTGCCAAAACCAATGTGTCATATGTTTCCTTATTGCATTTGCACCTCAGTGGTACTGGCATTTTTGAATGCTTAATGCTACAGAATGGTTTTATAAAACTATTCCATGAATCAAAGTACCAACTAAAGCATCCATTTGGTTTGAATCCTAATCAAAACACAAGCCAGTCTCCAAAAATCAGAGCTCTTCTTAGAGTAAAGGGGTAGCCCTGCTTAAGTTTAGCCTCATGCTACTCATACGTTTTGCTTTCCTGTCAGTCTGTCCACCCCCAAATGTCGTTGTTCGTTTAGAAATGGTTTGACAAGAGCTTCGGAGTTCAAGTGCACGTATGAAAAACACAGACAGACGAAGTCTGGTCTCTAAATACTCTGAGTCCTGACACGCTTACAGTCTGCTGGCTGCTGCAGGAAACAGCACCAAGCTGTCACTGCCTCCTGTTTGGTGAGAAGCTGTGGCTTTCTGAAGAGCTCACACAGACAGCAGTGAAGAGGTGGGAGAGTGTGAAAGCAGATTACTTTCTTATTAAATACAAAACCAAAACTTCTTGGGGCTGCATGGAAGTCACGTGACACGTGTTTTTTCTCATCATTCTTAAACGTAGCCCTATTTGATTGGCCAGTGTTATCAGAGTTTAAAGTAGGGATGGACTGAT